ATAACATGAATTTGATTTAACGAGTAATGACACTTTACAGCAATGCCTTTTTTCTCTACAGTTGATTTGAGTAATGTGATGTCCATTCTAGCCCTAGTCTGTTTTCGGTCTTGGGCTTGGTCTCGACCAGTCTTGGTCTTGGTCTCGCCTTAGTGTGTCTTGGTCTTGGTCTCGCCTTAGTGTGTCTTGGTCTTGGTCTTGGACTTGGTCTTGGTACCCTCAAGTCTTGGCAGTGTCTTGATCTTGATACCCTCCGGTCTCGGCAATGTCTTGGTCTCGGTTTAGGCGGTCTTGACTACAACACTAGGTTGTAGCATATCAAGTCTGTAAAGTAAATTAAGGTATAAAGGCCTATAAAGTAAATATTGTTAATCAAATAAATTCGTTTTGTCATTCAAAGTAGGTCTAATATGATTTTTTAAATTTCACGTAACGCTGTCAGTGAAATTTTATTTTATAGAGACGCAGCAAGCAGCATCGATCAACAGAAAAAAATTGAGGAATTTAAAACGTGGATGCTTAGCCTGTATATTCTTTAGGCCAGTGGTTCTCAAACTGGGGGCCGCGGCCCCCTGGGGGGCCACCAGATGGCGCTAGGGGGGCCGCGTCGAAATTGTAGAATCTAAAAAAAAAAATGACCTGTATGTTAGAGATGCGCGGATCAGCTAAAATGTCACCCGAATCCGCGGCTTTAAACAAATCATCCACCCGCCACCCGCCCGCACCTATAATTTTCTCTAATATAGATATCCGCACCCGCTTCTTCGTTTTTAACAGCAGATTCAGTGACTTTAGAGCTAATCTGCGCATCTCTGATAGTAAAATAATACGCGCATCATATGCTGCTTTAAATGAACATTTATTCATAAAACAAATTTTGTCTTTGGCCAGATTAACCAACATTTTCTCAATAAAATAAACAGTCTTTAGCCTACTCCATTCAGACTTTAATGGGAATATCACCGTTTCTGTCGCTGCAACACATAAACACACAATGACTGGATAACGGCAAATTTATTAGCCCTATCTATTCAAATAATACAGAATATTATGCTTTCCAAATAGATATAAAAAAAAGAGAGAACAAACTCGTAGGCACTTATACAGACGATAGGTAACAGGCGATAGGCACTTCGCTAAACCACTCCCACACAGCACTTTTCTTTCCTTCCTTTTGTTTTGTTTTTAATTCTCCCTTTTTTAGTCTCTCTCGGATCTGTTTCGCCTCCATTTCTGCTTTAAGAAATGGACCCCCCTCCTCCCGCCCCACACATATTTTTTTAAGACGAGAGCGCAAATTAGCGACTGTCTGCCTGATGGAAAATGCATTTAAAACATGTTCGTATTTTAGAGAATGTAGTTGATATTTGCATCATTAATGATTGATCTCATCCACCCGCGACCCACCCGCAATTAATTAAAATGTATTTTTTTATTACCCAACCCGCGGATTATCCGCAGCGCCCGCGGATATAACCGCCATCCGCGCATCTCTAGTACAGATAGAAAAATGTACGTTA